TTTTTTCTTGTTTTATAAGAATGGACTATTTACAGGCACCTTGTAAACCCCGTAAAATGATTTTGTAACTTTTTGAAAACTGAAATTGTAGTTCAACTTTTTCTTGAAGTGTTATTTTCTTGAAACAGTTTTATATAATAAACAACGCAACAACATATTGTTCTTTATTTATTACCTAACGTTGTCATAGTCATATCTTCAAAGACGGGTGGCGGATATATCCGCAGCTTTTCTACTCATCTGCGGACGGGGAGCGGATATATCCGCATAATTTTTTTTCAAATAAAAACGAGTAAAAAATTATTTGGACAGTATCAAGTGTTCCATTGTGTTTATTTTATGTATATTCGTATAATAAAACACAAAAAAAGGAAATTAATTTTTATTTTTTCCTATGATTTTTGCCCGTCCTATGTCACGATTTCGCCCGTCCGGGAAGGGTTAAAGCACTCGTAAGACCGGGGTGAAATAAGAGAGCGCATTGTAATGAACTGAATACCGCCGGTTGACATTAAAGGAGTGATGGAGCGTTACATAGTGAAGCCGGTGTAGGTAGCGGGCAACTGAGACCGAGGAGAAGCATCATACGGGACAGGTGGGGAATAGGACGCTATCGGTGATTGGTTAATGTTCAACCAATGGTATTAATTTATTCAAATTCAAGTGAACATCACTGTTGCCAATACAAATATTAAATGTGTAAATCAATATGCATATACTACAGTTTCCTTCCCTTCTCATAGCATTTTAGGATAGAAGATACATCAATCCAACCGCCACTCACGGTTCCCACACTCTGCAATGCTAAACTTTACTACTTCCTACGCTGTGGACCTGTTTTCATCTCTTTCCATAGCATTTTAGTATTTTAGATAAATTAATATAATTGCCACAAACATTGCCCAGACTCCGCACTGCTAGCCTTTACTACTTCTTTCACCATTTCCTATGTCTTGGACATTTTTCCTTCCCTTCTCATAGCATTTCAGTATTGCAGATACATTAATCTAACTGCTACAAACGGTTTCCAGTTCCAACACTCCACACTGCTTTCCTTTACTGCTTCCTTCACCACTTCCTACGTCTCGGACCTATTTCCTCTCTTCCCATAGCATTTTAGGATTGCAGATACCGTAATCTAATTGTCATAAACAGTTCCCTCACTCCGGACTGCTCGTCTTTGCTATTTCCTTCATCACTTTCTTCGTCGTGGACCAGTTTCCCTCCCTTCCCATAGCATTTTAGGATTGCAGATACCGTAATCTAATCGTCATAAACAGTTCCCTCACTCCGGACTGCTTTCCTTTACTGCTTCCTTCACCACTCCCTACGTCGCGGACCTGTTTCCCTCCATTCCCATAGCATTTTAGGATTGCAGATATCTTAATCTAATCGTTATAAACAGATCCCACACTCCAGAGTGCTCGCCTTTACTATTTCCTTCATCACTTCCTGCGTCGTGGACCAGTTTCCCTCCCTTCCCATAGCATTTTAGGATTGCAGATACCTTAATCTAATCGTCATAAACAGTTCCCACACTCCGGACTGCTCGCCTTCACTACTTCCTTCATCACTTCCTACGCCTTCCCATAGTATTTAAGGATTGCAGATACCGTAATCTAATCGTCATAAACAGATCCCACACTCCACACTGCTACCCTTGACTACAATGTATCGAGTAATCTTCAGTATAATCTTTGCTCAATAGTAACACCTGATGTTTTTCCTTTTGTACTGTATTTTGTAATTTGCTAGTATACTGTGGGTAGATGCCTCCATGAACACATGTTACAACTTACAAGTCTTTTGTTTACTTTTTCCTTGTTATTTAATTCAACCAACATGGTCTTTAAGTCATAGCATGGTCATTAAGTCTTAGCAACCCTTAAGACTAATGTTAAAAAAATGTGACTTTCAGTTTCATTTTTCTACGTAATTAGATTTTTGTTTGCAGTTCTAACTGCAGTGAACTCGTTTTTAGACCAGGAATAAACTATTTACAACATTTGAAGAAAATCGTCGGAGCCGTTTTTGAGATCTTGGTGCAAGCATACATACATACAAGCAAACATTGCTCATATTAGAGTATAGGATACAAATCAAATTTCAATGCAATAGCATGTGTATAATTTGAACTACATCCAATAAAGTTAACGTCTGCAATTTCCAAGTTTGGAGGGGGGGAAGCTCAAGGTGGAAAATAAGAGATTTTTCGAAAATACACGTCGTAAGTTGTTCTTTCACATATAACAAATCCAGCTTTCCACTATTTGGCTACGAAAAAGGGCAGTTTGTGCGTTTATTGACTGGACTAGATGCGACGACGCAGCGCAGAGGTGCTCAACTAGTGTGCATGTGTTCACTTTGCCGACGCCCAGCTCTTCACCAGTTCACCTAGATGACTAACCAATAATACGTTTGTAAACCTTGAAAGACGAACTAAAACTTTTGTTTGAACCATATTTGCGTATTATTTATATTTAGAAAAATATGTAGAGGAAATCAAAATTTTGTACTCTGAAACAAAGATTTTAACGAAGTTTAAATTTTTTATCTCCCTTAAGTATTGGTTTTAGAAAAATTTTATAAATACAAAAGTTGTAGGAAAATTAATCAGAAATAAAACAAAACAAAATGCAGCTCGATAGCTTACATAGTATTCGACTTATGATCAATTAAGTAAAACACTGCAATTTCTAGGTTTGGAGGGGGGTGGGGGGAAAGCTCAAGGGGTATATGTGGGGACTTTTCGGAAAATACACCTCTCATGTGGTTCTATCACATATAAAAAATCCAGCTTTCCACCATTTAGTTGCGTTAAAAAACATTTATTGACTGGGCTATAAGTAATAAGTAAAGAAAATCTTCTTTTTATTTTTATTTGTTTTCTTTGCAATTTACTTTTTCGTTGTTATTTTTCGTAACCAACATGGCAACTCATAAGGCCCTATGTTAAATATTTTCAACTTTTAAATAAAATTGTCTATAAAGTTTGCGTTTCTACACAAAATACAACTGCATAGGTGCATTTTAAAATCAAAACTACACATAAATACAAATTTTCATAAAAGTCATAGAGCCATTTCCGAGATCCGAGAAATATACAAGAATTGCTCATTCAAAGTAATACTGTACCTATATCTTACAACTAGCTATTTGCCCGTTCTACGGACGGGATCATTTAGTCAGTTGAAACCTTCTTATAACCAGAACAGCAGTTGGCTTGCATATTTAGTGTGCATTTTTCCAGATACGCAGGCAAAACTTCGTATACAGCACTGTTTCAGGATCTTTTTCCCAGTTATCAAAACTCAAGTTGAATTTGATACACGCACACAGAATCATCGGTTAACGCTGAATGATACAGTTACACATTATTGCACTTACGATTTATTAAATCCGTTATGTGAGGCACAACGTTTGTAATCTCACTTGGTTTTGGATTTTCTTACTATAAGTGTTAGGAAATGGTTGCGATATTTGTAAACATTTAATGTAAACATATCCAGTGACAGCAAGAAAAATAATCTTTATCAAACCTAACAGCTGTTTGTTATTTCATAGATGTCGTATTCTCCAAACAGATGATTAACCAAAGAGCCGTTGATTATTTACATTTTTAAACCAATTAATAAAATCAATTACAACAATCAATCTTGGCCGTTACGTAGTGTGGCCGACCACGGGGGGTAGAATTCCTGGGTTGGACATTTCTGATTTGACCACTGGGGGTGGATGTCCGGGGGTAGATTTCTGGGGGTAGATTTCCGGGGGTAAAATTCCGGTGTCAGGTTTATTGGTATTTTGATTAATTACAACTGTTAAGTAAACTGTGAAATGTGAGTTGATTGAAATAAATAGGTAATAATTTATCTGTCCTAAAAGTTTGCGGCCGGAAATCTACCCCCAGACATGTGACGTCAAAATTATGACGTAGGTGTTTTTTCATGGGGGTAAATATCCGGGGGTAGAATTCCGGCGACCCGTCTGTTTCATTGTTCCCAGTCCTTCAATTTGCATCTGCCGGTCAGTCCATAGGTATCCGTGTTCACTACCAAAGCCGAACCGAGTCTAGCAGGCAGAGAGCGTTTTGTTTACGTTATTTGTTATTTTTAGTGAGATGTGACAAGCAAGAGGCAAATTGTATGCTTTCGCGTGTCGATATTTAAATATTGACAATGTAACACGAATATTGAACAGAAACGGTATGGAAACATAGACAAATGACGTCAATACTAATAGCCGTAACAACTGCCTTGGGCGTTTTTTGACAGTTCCATTTAAAAATTAATAAAAACGTGTTTCATTTCGGGCCAGTGACATAATTTTTTTTATGTGTATGACACATAACGTTTCTGTTATGTTTGTGCTATGTTGTATACAATTTTGCTAGACTGTAAATTTTTATCCACTGTAGTGGGGGACGTCAACTAAAAAAAATCTCCTCTTTTTTTATAAATTACCATATTGCAACCCTACTCATGGTAAGACATGGACCCGGGACTGACTTACTTATTTGTTTTGATGTTCCTAGATGACACCATTCTGTTAAAATTCATATATTTTTTTTTATTCTGTATTGACCTCCTTTAAATGTGTTACCCAAAATATCTGACACTGTTGTTATGTCTTTGATGTATTTAGCGTTTTGGCAAACGGAAACAAAAATTGGTATCAATTCAACTGTTTTATAGTTCATTTCACAAACAAAAAACAAACAAAAATATGCAAGTGCGCATGCACATGCAAACGGCTCCATTTAGTGAACAGATTGTCCTAGCACCGGCAGGGATAATATCGGTTTGTCATGTTGAAATATTCTATCTACTATTGAATGGACTTATTATTTTATATTGTTCTTTCATTTATTTCTTGTAACTGGTTTGTAAACATACTAAATGTAAGATGCACAAGATAGCTTTTCACTCGAAACAAACTGTAAGTAACATGTTGACATTTGGTATAAATGAGTCATACCTAACTTGATTTTTTGTGTACAGATCACTGTGGGAAGTACCTAAATATCGAATTGAAATGCTGAAAATGGAAGCAGTAAAAGCTGTGGCATTTCACATTGTATCAGAAGATAATGACGTTAAAACTGCTGTCTTAAAAGCCTTGGCAACATTCACAACAAATTTAAAGTCTTCTGGCCTCGCTATTCAGGTGAGCACACAATTTTTTATGTGTCTTTGTATGCCACTATTTATTTAAGTAGGTATGCTTATCTATATTTGTAATACCCCCACCGCAGCAAACCTGCAGACTAAGCAAATTTCAACTTGTCTGATTACATATTTACTCAAATCCTACTAATATTATAAATGAGAAAGTTTGGATGTATGGATGTATGGATGTATGTTTGTGACAAGTGAACGCGAAAAATACTGGTCGGATTGGGCTGAAATTTGGCATGATGATAGCTCACATTCCCGATTAACATATAGGCATATTATTATTTCAAAAATTCTTTCGGGCTCCGCCGCAGTGGCTCTGGAGTTTCCCATGTTAACCTTATGAGAAATGGAATTATTGAATCTTAACAGTTGTTTCAATTAAACAAGTTGGTTCTGTTCTATGATGTTCAATAGCATTAAAGTTACAAGGATTACCAACAGGGTGCAGCACTATTATTTCTTTTACATTTATGACAACAGCTAATTTGGTCATTTTGCAACCAAAAGGTGAGTGATCGTAGCGAACGAACTTCAATCTGGAGGCGAGTTAGCGTAGCGAACGAGCTAACCTGAAAGCAAGTGAGCGCAGCAAATGAGCTCCAACCTAAAGGTGAGTGAGCGTAGCGAACGAGCTCCAACCTAAAGGTGAGTGAGCGTAGCGAACAAACTTCAACCAGGAAGTGATTGAGCCATGCGAACAAGATAATTTTGAAAATTAAGAAGTTAAACGGGGCAAAGCCCGCGGGTTACAGCTAGTATTTCCATAAATAAGAAATATTTATTCCCAATTTAAATAACATTATATTTAACGAGTGCTTAGGTTTGCTGCTACGGGGAAGGTAAACAGTGTTTTTTTACCAAACGTCAATAGAATAGGATAAAATAAATAAATTTGTCAAATTTGATCAAAATATATCCATAAACAAGTCAACTACAACAGTTTTCATTTTCTCCATAAGAATAACATGGGAATTTTAAATTTGCCCTTTTTTGAATTTTCTCCGTAACCCTTAGGCATACAACAATGCTTCAGTATACTGAATTATTTTTTTTAAGCTCTACAAAATGGTTTGGGAAAGAATTTCCAAAATTTTATGATTTTAGGGTCTAAAATGGGAAAAACCCATTTTTACCCCATAAAACCCCCCATAAACCCCCGTTCCCATGGTCCGATCATGCTGGTTCGCGAACTCGTTCGAATAAATGTAGGTTTACACGTTTGTACCAAATTTCATCAAAATCGGATGATTTTTGTTCGAGTTATCGTGCTAACGGACACACATATATATATATATATATATATACTAGCTGTACCCGCGGCCGTTTAACTTCTTAATTTTCAAGATGAGCTCGTTCGCATGGCTCAATCACGTCCTGGCTGAAGTTTGTTCGCTACGCTCACTCACCTCATAGTTATCTTGCTCTCTGTTTTTATTTATCTGTATCTTTCTGTATATATTGGGATAAATAAACGTATTTCATTTAATTTCACCTTTAGGTTGGAGCTCGTTCGCTGCGCTCACTTGCCTTTAGGTTAGCTCGTTCGCTACGCTAACTCGCCTCCAGATTGAAGTTCGTTCGCTACGCTCACTCACCTTTTGGTTGCAAATTAGCTGTGTTATAAATAAAAAAAAAAAAATAATAGTGCTGCACCCTGTTGGTAATCCTTGTAACTTTTCATCATAGAACAGAACCAACTTGTTTAATTGAAACAGCTGTTAAGATTCTTTAATTCCATTTAAATATGAGTACTCATAAGGTTAACATGGGAAACTCCAGAGCCACTGGGGCGGAGCCCGACAGCCCGATCAGAATAAAAACTACTTAGTTTTCCTATTTAATGCCCAAAGATTCGGTGTACCGAATTTCAGCCACCTAGGTAAATGGGAAGTGGCAGAATTAGTGATGAGTGAGTGAGTCAGTCAGTCAGTGAGTCAGTGAGGGCTTTGCCTTTTATATATACAGTCCACTCTTGGTAATTCAAACACTTGATAATTCAAAACATTCGATAATTCAAAATGAAGGCTCAGTCCCTAGAGAATCTCTCAATATTTCAAATTTTTACCATGCATTTTGATACACTCGGTATCAAAGTTTTGTCGGAAAAACACTCTATAATTCGAAGTAACTCAGTAATTCGAAGTTCGTCGGTTGACACTCTATAATTCGAAGTCATGCTGTAATTCGAAGTTTCGTCGAAAAAACACTCTATAAATCAAAGTCACACAGTAATTCGAAGTTTAGTTGGCAAAACACTCTATAATTCAAAGTGATCTCTTCCTGTTATAACAGGAAACTATACAGTACAGTACATCCTGTTCCCATGGTAGGCTAGTGTTGGAAGTTTTGATGTTTGTTTGGTTAAGCCCCGTTTCCATCAAACATTTTCTGCTCAAAACATTGTTGTCAGCTAAACTCACAACAAAGTTGGAGTAAAATGTTGAATGGAAACACTAGCATAATGTTTTGAGCAGTGTTGGCCAACAAAAAGTGTTGGCAGCCGTTGCAGCTGACAACATTGTTGTGAGCTGTGCTCAAAAGGTAATGGAAACGGTGTCCAGCTGCCAACATTGCTGTGAGCAGAACTTGCGCATGCGCACTTGCTCTGTAGTTCCAGCACATCCACCGCAGCACCATCGCACCTCTAGCCTAGCAGACGGGTTAAACACCAACAACACCACGTGTTTTTGTTTATGGTGAAACAAAAACATTCTTGACATTCTTGTGTCGTGTCGGTGTATCTTGTTGTGTTGGGCTTTTGGACGGTATAGTGAGGCCATGGCGATGTCAAGTCAAGATTGGGGAAAAGACGAAGTGTTAAAGTTGATATCTTTGTATGAAAGTGAGACAGTGTTGTGGGATGTGTCTAAGCACAAAAACTAATAAAACTTTAATTTGACTCTAAATTCTGTGTACCTACTGTGAGAACATTTGGACATTAATGAAACATATTATCTTCTCGACTAGAGCCAACATTCGACCAGATCTTCTTTCAAGACCTTAATAACGTCAAAGTGGTAACATAACTATAGTTCAGTGTTAAAAATTTATACCAAAAGTCCATTATTTTCTGTTGTCAAAATTAAATTAATAACCCATATACAGTCCACTTTATTATTTCTACAATAACCTTTTGATTACGCTACATCTTTTTAAATAATCAGTAACAAAAAAGTTTTTCCAAATCCTGTCTAGTTCTATAAACCATCTGTATATATAAATCATATTTATTTACAAACAAACAATATAAACAATGGTTAAGTGTTTAATGTATTTTGAAGTTTGAAAATGGACTAATGTCTGAAACATGTCACTTCTTTTTATAAAATATAATAATAATAATAATAGGTTAAATACCTTGTATACGTCCTCAATCCAAGTCGTCTTTTAAAATGACTATAGTTTCGGGGCCAACAGCCCCATTGTCAAATTTTCTGTCTTGTTAATTACTGTTTGTAGCATTGGTCAAACGTTGAAGTACACATATATACATACACTGACACACGAAACATTTATTAAATGTATGTATAAATGTTTCGTGTGTCAGTGTATGTATATATGTGTACTTCAACGTTTGACCAATGCTACAAACAGTAATTAACAAGACAGAAAATTTGACAATGGGGCTGTTGGCCCCGAAACTATAGTCATTTTAAAAGACGACTTGGATTGAGGACGTATACAAGGTATTTAACCTATTATTATTATTATTATTCAATCCAGGAGGCAAACATGGATAAAATATAATATTCAGGGTGCTCAGTTGTACTTATTTACTTAAATATTTAAAATATATATATATATACAGTATATATAAATTTGAATGGTGTTTTTGGCCTCTTGGGACCTCAAAACAAAAAAGTAAATCGGTCCCGAGTCCAGGTCTTACCATGAGACCTACAGTAATAGCTTATTCCCTATATGGGAAATTCGCTAAAAGAGGAAGTTTGTATATATATTTAAACGTTATGGACTCCAAAACCGCTCGACAGATTGTAATGAAACTTTCTGGCACTATTCAAGGATGGTTTGTGTGAAGTTTGGTGCAGATCCGTCAAAAGGGCTCCGCCCCAGTGGCTCTGGAGTTTAGTTTCCCATGTTAACCTTATGAGTACTAATATTTAAATGGAACTAGTGTCTGTGTTGCTCGAATTCGAGCAATTACTAAGTATTACAGGTGTTATTTTAACAGTCATAATTTCTAATGACTTTAAAAGATTCAACTCGAGTCAAAGATTATGGAAATACTCAAGATGTACATAACAGATATATATAATCAACATTTCTTGAAAATATCTTATCATTTTTAAAAAAGCTGATCTTGTTTTTTTGTGTTTTCTACAAATAGCCTTAGTCATAGCCACATTCGGTTGTCCATAATAACGATTATAAATTCTAAAAAAAAAACATAATTTCTATTTATTTTCCTTGGTGGTGTTGTATGACTTTCCTATTTTTCCATAGTTTGTAAATCGGCTCTTTCAATGATTACTAAGAAATAAAGCAGTGTTCTTAAAAAATTCAGTTTTCTTTTTAGTATATAAAATTATCCAGGCTCTCTCGCTTTTTTTCATTGTAATATTTACGGCAACTCCAATTTAAATAGTAAATATTTCCTTACAACCAAGTCAGTAAATGTTTGTAGCAAACTGTTGAATTAGAAAACTTGTTGACTGTTTATAATTAACTTATGTTCTTCTCACTTTTAATTTCTGACAACAGCTGGAATTTCATAACAATTTTTGTTTCCCATGTTAATCGTATGGAGAAATACGAAACTTTAAAGGGCCTCACTCTTTAATTGTTTCCCTAAAAAGAAAGTTTCCTGCACAACTTCACGTTACACTCTTTCCAATGACACCAAAAACATATCAATCGGTTTAGTAGTTTAGGAGGAATAATAGTCACAAAAAACCTGCTTGCCTATTAAATAAGTATAGATTAAAGAATCTTAACAGCTGTTTCAACTTGACAATTTGATTCTGTGAT